TTGGATAATGCCCACCTTTCTCTCTCACTTCTTATCTGCTTCCTATCCCAGCCAGCCTGCAGGGATGTCACCCTTCCTCTCCTCTCCCAGGTTCTGAAGGCCAAGCTGAGACTGCCAGCCTGGCCACGGCTGACTTCCTGTCTTGCTGCGATGTTCTGTGGCTAAGGCAAACTGGGAGTGAGCCGCTGGATGCCAAACACGGGCTGGTCCCTGCCTAGGTGACACCTTGGCAGAGCTGGGAAGGGTCTCACAGATCAACTGGACTGCCCCCCTGTTATACATGGAGAAACCGAGGCCCAGCGAGGCGAAGAAGCTTGCCCAGTGTTGCACAGTCAATCAGAGGGGGAAGCCAAGGCCCCTGTTCTTCTCAGGCTCTTGACTCCCTCCTCTGCCTTCACATCCCCATTTCTCACTCACCTTCAGGCTCTCTGGATCCATTTCCTTGGCTCACTGGAGGATGTTTCAGAGGGTTTGAGACTAGGGACCTTTTCTCTCTGGAGCCAGGGGGACACAGTTCAAAGAAGGAAGCCCAAGCCTCCTAAACGTAGAGAATCCTGGTGGATGGGACATGGAGTTTCACACCAGCGCAGCTTTCCAAACTCTGAAAACATGCCTGAACTTTCATAGAATTCAGCAAAGGGTTTTCAACTCGATAGAATTAAATGGAACTTTTGGAATTTGGCAGAATTACACAAACTGCTTAGAATTCAGTGGGTTTCTTGGCAATGTGTCAGGTTTGGTAAAATTAGGAAACAGAGAGGCCAGTAGTTTACTGTGGGCAGCCAGGGACCCCCTGACCTGGTAGCACCCAGCTCCATCTCAGCCGACAGCTTCCAGGGGAGCAGGCAGGCCATATGGAGGTGGCACCTTTCAAAGCACTCTGTGCACCAAGGGACTGTGCGATCCCTGAGGAAATTTAGAGAGAAGAGAGGAAATGTGCCCAGCTTAGAAACTTTGGGGTGCCTCAGGGATAATGTCCCAAAGACCCAATTACAAAGAATCTATTTAGAAATCTTAATTGGTGTGGAAAAGTTGGAGAAAGTGGCTAAGGGACAGGAACCATCCTCTTAGGCCAGGCCCCAGCCAGTGCTGACCCAGGAATGTTTACAGAATGAATATGTGAATGGATGATGAGCAATTAAATGAACACATAAGCAATTCTCAATGAATAAATAAATGTAAAAATAAATGAATGAGTGAGTGAACAAATGATAGGCAGACTTGCTTTCCAGGTGAGGAGCTAGAGGTCTTGGCTCAACTCTCAGGGATCTTACAAAAGTGCAAAATCAAGGAAAGTGAATAGGGGAGTGAACTGAACTGGATGAAGAAGCACAGTAGAATTACAGACTATCAGAGCAGGAAAGTGCTTAAAGGCCATCATAACCCATGCTCACTGTCTAGGGGGAGAACTGCCCTAGAGGGGTGAAGGGGCTAGCTCAGCACCACCTAGTGAGGCAGGAGCATGGCCCTGGGTTAACTCTGACACTGACTTGTCCACCCTTGAATCCTATCTCCCTCAGTCAATGCAAAGCCTGTCTGCCCAGGCAGCCAGTGACTGGGTTCCTCCAGTTGGTCCCTCTACCCTGTGCTCAGAGCATCCATCTTGATGGTTCCTCCATGAGGTTCTCGACAGTTTTCAGAGTCCATGTCTCTGCAGGCTTAACGGTCTCTTTATTTACTTATTTATTTATATTTATTATTATTATTATTATTGAGACAGAGTCTCCCTCTGTTGCCCAGGCTGGAGTACAGTGGCATATTCTTAGCTCACTACAACGTCCGCCTCCCGGGTTCAAGCGATTCTCCTGCCTCAGCCTCCCGAGTAGCTAGGACCACAGGCATACGGGCATGCGCCACCACACCTGGCTAACTTTTGTATTTTTAGTGGAGACAGAGTTTCACCTGTTGGCCAGGCTGGTCTCGAACTCCTGACCTCAAGTTATCTTCCCGCCTTGGCCTCCCAAAGTGCTGGGATTACAGGTGTCAGCCACTGCGCCCAGCCAAGGGGCTCTTTAATAATTAGGGTCATTTTATTTTGGAACTAGGTATTGTTGTTAGATTTTTATTTCACTATTTTAAAATTAAAAGGAAGTTTATTAGAATTTTATTTATTTACACAAAATAAATTTACACTTTTACTTTTCCAAAAGTAACTATTGTTATTAGTTTTGTGTCTATCTATCCAGATACTTTTCTGATCATTCGCGTATGTATATCTATACATAGAAATAGGTCTTGTGATTATATATGTATATCTATACATATAAATAATCTTGTGACTTTTTAGTATGCTTTTTTGTTGCAAGTTTATTGAAGGATGATTGATGTACAACTACATTTAAATCACATAATTTGATTAGTTTAAATGTATACAGTCATGAAACTATGACCACAATCAAGATAATGAACTTATCTAATATACCCACAATTTTTCTCATGCTCCTTGGTAATCCATTCCTTTCTTCCCCAACCAGGCAACCACTGATTTGCTCTCTGTAACTGCAGATTACTTTCCTTTTCTAGCATTTTACATAAAGGGAATTATGCAGAATGTACTCTTTTTAAAATCTGGCTTCTTTCACTCAGCGTGATTATTTTGAGAGTCATCCATGTTGTGCGAATCAATGGTTAGTTCTTTTTAAAAATAGCATCTTTATTGAGCTATAATTCAAACACCATGCAGCCGCCCATTTAAATTCCGCCGTTTAAAATGTACAATTCAAATACAAAACTGTTGCATTGTACACTTTAAATGGGGGAGTTTAAAGTGTACAATGGGCGAATTTAAAATGTACAATGCAATAGTTTTGAGTATCACCACAGTTGATTTTAGAACATGTTTATCACTTTCAAAAGAAAGCCCATACTGTTTAGCAGTCACTCCTCTTTTCCCTCAGCCTCCTCCAGTCTTAGGAAATCTACTTTTTGTCTCTATTGAGCTGCCTATTCTGGACATTTTATATAAATGAAATTACAAAATATGTTTCCCTTTGTGACTGGTTTCTCTTACTTAGCTTAATGTTTTCAAGGTTCATCTATATTGTAGCATGTATCAGGACTTAATTTCTTTTTATTGCTAAGTAATATTCAATTGTATGGATATACTACATTTCATCTGCCCATTCATCAGTTGATAGACATTGGGTTGATTCCACTTTTTGACTATTATGAATAGTGCTGCTACGAACATTTGTGTACAAGTTTTTGTGTGGATGTATATTTTCGTTTTTCTTGGATATTTTCTTTTCTTTTTCTTTTTTTTTTTTTTTGAGAGTCGCCCAGGCTGGAGTGCAGTGGCGCGATCTCGACTCACTGCAAGCTCCGCCTCCCGGGTTCGCGCCATTCTCCTGCCTCAGCCTCCTGAGTAGCTGGGACTACAGGCGCCCGCCACCGCGCCCGGCTAATTTTTTGTATTTTTAGTAGAGACGGGATTTCACCGTGGTCTCGATCTCCTGACCTTGTGATCCGCCCGCCTTGGCCTCCCAGAGTGCTAGGATTACAGGCGTGAGCCACCGCGCCTGGCCTTTCTTGGATATTTTCTTAGGAATGGAATTTCTGGGTCATATAGAAACTCTATGTGTAGATTTTTGGGGAACTGCCATTTTCCAAAATGGAAAGTATCATTTTACTTTCCCATTTTACATTTCCCCAATACATGAGGGTTCCAATTTCTCCACATTCTCACCAACAATTGTTATTATCTGCTTTTTAAATTATAGCCATCTTGGCCGGATGTGGTGGCTCACGCCTGTAATCCCAGCACTTCGGGAGGCTGAGGTGGGCAGATCACTTGAGACCAGGAGTTCAAGACCAGCCTGGGCAACATGGTGAAACTTCGTCTCTACAAAAAATACAAAAATTAGCCGGGCGTGGTGGCATGTGCCTGTAGTCCCCACTACTTGGGAGACTGAGGCAGGAGAATAGCTTGAGCCCAGAAGGTTGAGGGCTGCAGTGAGCCATATTCATACCACCCTACTCCAGCCTGGGTGACAGAGTGAGACCCTGTCTCAAAAAAAATTTTATATATGTGTAGCCATCATAGTAAGAGTGAAGTGGTATCTAATTGTGATTTTGATTTGCATTTCTCTAATGGCTAATGACGTTGAACATATTTTCAAGTGCTCATTGGCTATTTGTACATCTTCTTTGGAGCAATGTATATTCAGCTCTTTCGCCTATTTTTATTTTAACTTTTAATTTTAATTTTTTTTCTTTGAGATGGGGTTTTGCTCTGATACCCAGGCTAGGGTGCAGTAGTGTGATCTGGGCTCACTGCAACCTCTGCCTTTTGGGCTCAAGTGATCCTTCCACCTCAGCCTCCCGAGTAGTTGGGATCACAAGCACACACCATCATACCTAGGTAATTTTTTTGTATTTTGGGTAGAGATGGGGGTTTCACCATGTTGGTCAGGCTGGTCTCGAACTTCTGATCTCAAATGATGCAACTGCCCGCACCTGGCCTAATTATATATTTAAATTTTACTTTACATACGTAAGATCACAGTCAAGGAGGTTAACTATAATTTCAAATTTTATCACCAGCCACTTGTGCTATTTTATCACATTCGAAAATATTCACTCTTATCATTTACTTTAAACAGTGATCTATACATTTGTTTAGACAATAATAATTAAGGACTTTTTCTTCTTCAGGATGATAAAAAAATTAATGATGTATTGAAGATACTACTAAAGAAACTTTACTTTTGGATTATGGCCTCTGCACTGAAGATCTGTAGGATTTTTAAAAATTAATTTTCAAATCTTTCCATGACCTCTCTGTTCTAAGAAATATCATCTTTGTAATAATTTTGTGAATACTTTATAAATCAAAAATTGATTCACAAGACTGTATTACCATAATCACTAATTTTAAGTCTCTTAAATATTTTCTATATTTCTTTTCTTGATCATAAAATGTCAATAATATGGATATGCTCTTAATATAACAAAATATTTAATTATCTCAGTTTCCCATCAACCCACCAGTCATTTATTAATTACATTGGCCATTTCCATTGATTGGCAGGAGGCTCCTCCATGAACATCTCCCATGGTTTCCACTGCATCATTTTTCTCGCCAGACTTAGTTCATTTTCAACCTGAAGAATCACCTCTTTTATTTGAACACCTTGAAGTTGGTCTTCTGATTGTTTAACGTCTGGTTCTGCTTTAACCATAGTCAGCTTCTCATTTGGAATCTGTTCTGTATACTTTCTATATGCTGCTTTTTTAGGGGTTCGCTTAAGAACATCAAGGATCTTTGTGTACAATATTCTTAGCCTCTTACATTTTAGCAGACTGATTTTAGTTGCTTGTCTTGTGTGGACTCTTGTATACAGCCAATCCCACAAGGCCAGTGGTCTTCTTCAGCACACCTGCCATGACCGTGCCGATGAGCCAATTGGATCTTCTTTAATTTCTTTCAACAATATTTTGTAATTTTTAGAGTATACATTTTCTCCAAGAATATAATTATATATATAATGTTTTATATAATTTCTTTAAAAAATAGGAGAAGAAATAAGAAATATGCACTTAAAACTGCCTTTTATAATTATATAGTTACCTTTATCAGTGCTCTTTGTTCTATCACGTGGATTTGAATTTCCATCTGTATTTGCTTGCTTTCAGCCTAGAGGATTTCTTTTACTATTTCTTGTAAAGTGGGTCTGCTAGCAATGAATTCTCTCAGTTTTTGTTTATGTAGGTATGTCTTTATTTTGCCGTGGTTTTTGAAAGATAGTTTTTCTGTTTTTAATATTTTTGGTTGGCAGGCTTTTCTTTCAGTACTTTGAATATGTCAGCCTGCTGTCTTTTGGCTTCCACTGTTTCTGATAGGAAATCAGCTGCTAATCTTATTATCATTCCCTTGTACGTGATGAGTTATTTGTCTCTTACTGCTGTCAATGTTTTCTCTTTGTCTTTCAAGTACTTTTACTATTATATGTCTGGGGTGGGTTTCTTTGAGTTTGTAGAGTTTCTTGGATGTGTAATGTTTTTCAACAAATTTGGGAAGTTTTCAATCATTATATCTTCTAATACTTTTTCTGTTCATTTCTTTTTCTTCTCTCCTGGTAATCCTATCTCACTCATATGTTAGTACACTTAAGGGTGTTTCACATTTCCCTAAGGCTATGTTCATTTTTCTTTATCCCTTTTTCTTTCTGTTCTTCAGATTATATAATCTCTATCAATCTATCTTCAAGTTTGATGATTCTTTTGCCAATTCAAATCTACTGTTGAACACCTCTAAGTGAATTTTTCATTTTGGTTATTGTACATTTAATTTTGGAATTTCCATTCAAAATAGTTTCTATCTCTTTATTAATATTCTCTATTTGATGAGAAATTGTCACCATAGCTTCCTTTACTCCCCCACCCCTCACCAGAGGTAGAATTGCTGGATCATATAGTAATTTTATTTTTAATTTTTTGAGAAACTGCCATACTGTTTTCCATTTTATATTTCCACCAACAGTGCACAAGGGTGCCAATTTCTCCATAGTCTTACCAACACTTGTTATTTTCTGTTGTTTTTTTTTTCTTTTTTTTTTATAGCAGCCATTCTAATGGGTGAGATGGACTATCTTATCTCATTGTAATTTTGATTGCATTGCCTTAATGATTTAGCAATAAACATTTGTTCATGTGCCTATTATCCATTTGTATAGATTTTTGGAGAAATGTCTATTTAAGTTATTTGCCCTTTTATTAATAGCACTATTTTTTTGTTGTTGTTTTGGGTTTTAAGAGTTCTCTCTATATTATGGATGTGAATCCCTCATCAGATATATAATTTATAAATATTTTCTCCCATTCTGTGAGTTGCTTTCTTACTCTGTTGACATAGTCTTGTGATGCACAACATTTTAATATTTTCATGAAGTCTAATTTGTTGATTGTTTTCTCTTTTTTTGCCTCTGCCTTTGGAGTCATATCCAAGAAATTATTGCCAAATTCAAATTCATGAAGTTTTTGCCCTGTGATTTCTTCTAAAAGTTTGATAGTTTTTGGTAGGTCTTTTGTCCATTTTGAATTTTTTTTTTTTTTTTTGTATTTGGCACTACAAAAGAATCTCTTTTGCATGTGGATATCTAATTTTCCCAGCATGATTTATTGAAAAAAACTGTCCCTTCCTAAATAGTCTAATTTTTCTTGACAAAAATCACTTGATATGAGGGTTTACGTCTTTTCATTCTATTCCATTGGTCTATGTGTCTGTCTTTATGCCAATACCACACTGTTTTGATTACTGTAGCTTTGTAGTAAGTTTTGAAATCAGGAAGTGTGAGTCCTTCAGCTTTGTTATTTTTCAAAGTTGTTTTGACTACTCAAGGTCCCTTGAGATTCCATATGAATCTTAGGATGGATGTTTCTATTTCTGCAAAAACATCATTGGGATTTTGATAGGAGTTGCACTAAATATGTAGATCCTTTAGTTCTTCAAGCATGAATTTCTTTAATTCTTTGAATATAGTTATAGTGGATGCTTGAAATCTTCATTGGCTAAATATGACTTGAGGCCTTTGGCTGGCAGTTTCTCTTGCCTGTGTTCCCCCTTCATGTGTGCATACTTTCTTGTTCCTTTGCATGACTCATAATTTTTTTGTTGAAACTTTCTATTTTTGGTAATATATGGTAGCCACTCTAGATATCGATCTTCCACCCCTCTTTGTAGCATGCTTTTGTTATTTTTTACTTCTTTACTACTGACTTGGCTAGACTATTTAATTTAGTCTATTATCCCACAGCATGAAGCCTCTGTCTTTCCTCAGAGACTGTAGCCTTGCATATGTGCACATTCACCCTGGGATAACCGTGGTTTTAGCAGAGCCATTTGACTGTCGCTTTTCCTGATCTATTTGTAAAAGTATCTACTTCTGCTGGTATCACACCCAGTGTTAGGCTCCACAAATTGTCATCTGATTGCTTTATTGTTTTTGATCATGTGCTGGGGAATACATTGCACCACAGTCTGATCCAATTACATTTGGGCAGGAGTAGTTTTGAGGCCAGTCTTTGAGGTTTGTTTTGACCCCAGGAGAATTCTCCTTAGCTGTCTTTTTCCATGGTGTTCTGCTGTTGTTGGGTGAAGGGTTTTATAAATATCAATTAAGTTGGATGAAAGTATTGTTCAAGTCTCCTGTATTCTTACTAATTTTCTGTTTACTTATTTTTCAACTACTGAGACAGGGATGTTGAAATCTTTGGCTGCAATTACAGATTTGTCTGTTCCTCCTTTCAGTTCTGTCAGGTCTTGCTTTATGTATTTTGAGGCTCTGTCATTAGATATATAAGCTTTTAGGACTGTTATGTTATCCTGATGAATTGACATCTTTGTCATTTTCAACTGACCCTCTTTATCCCTGTTAATATTTTTGCTCTAATATCTACTTTGCTATTAATATAGAGTTGGATCTTTAATTTTTTTTTTTTTTGAGATGGAGTCTTGCTATGTCGCCAGGTTGGAGTGCAGTGGCGTGATCTCAGCTCACTGCAACCTCCACCCTGGGTTCAAGCGATTCTCCCATCTCAGCCTCCCGAGTAGCTGGGATGACAGGCACGCACCACCATGCCCAGCTAATTTTTGTATTTTTAGTAAAGACGGGGTTTCACCATGTTGGCCAGGATGGTCTCGATTTCCTGACCTCATGATCCGCCCTCCTCGGCCTCCCAAAGTGCGTGAGCCACGTGACTGGCCGGATCTTTAAAAAATTAATCAGACAATCTCTGTCCTTTAATTTAGATGCTTACACAAATTATGTTAAAAATGACCAGGGATATAGTTGGATTTAAATATTTCATCTTGCTGTTTGTTTTCTATTGTTCCATCTGTTATTTGTTCCCCTTTTAATCTACCTTTAATTAATATAATACCACCTCACCTATAGTATATAAATGTTGCAACAGTGCACTTTCACTTCGCCTCTTCTGGGTTTTGAGCTATTGTTGTTATATATCGTAATTCCACATCTGTTAAAATTCTATAATACCTTATTACTTTTGCTTCCAATAGTCAACTATGTTATATATTCCTTCCTTTAAAAAATTTATTAGCTTCTTATTGGCCACATCCAAGCTGTGTTTTAAAAGGTTTAAAAATTAGAGTAAAAATATTTTATATGTATTCACCTATTTACCATTTCTAGAGCTCTTTATTGCCTGGTATAGATAGGTATTTCCTTCTGATAACATTTTTCTTCCACCTGAAGGACTTCTTTTTAATATTCTTATAGATCTGGTCTGTTGGTAATAAAGTCTTTCAAATTTTGTATGTCTGAAAATATTTTTATTTAACTTCGGTTTTGAGAGGTATTTTGCTCAGTATAGAATTCTGACAGCTGAATTTTCCTTTTAGCATTTTGAAGATACTGCACCACTGTCTTCTGGCTTGCATTGTTTCTGACAATGACTGCCGTCATTCTTATGTTTGTTCTTCTATATATAACATGTCTTTTTCTATGATTGCTTTTAAGATGTTCTCTTTACCACTGATTAAAGCAATCGTATTATAATTTGCCTTGGTGTCGCTGTCTTCATGCTCTTCTGCTTGGGCTTTGTTGAGATTCTTGGATCTATGATTTCGTAGGTTTTTTTTTAAAGTTTGGAAAAATTTTGATCATTTTTTTTTCCATTTTTTTTTTCTGTTCATTGCTTCTTTTCCTGAGATTCTAGTTGTACATACATTAGGCTACTTGAAGTCCCAAAGCTCACTGATACTTTATTTATTTATATTTTTTTCTATTTTATTTTGGTTAATGTATATTGCTATGGTATCAAGTTTACTAATAATTTCTGCTGCAGGTTCTAGTCTGTTATTAATTTCATCTAATACATTTGAAATTTGTTTTAAATTTTGAAATAATTTTAGATTGGCAGAAGAGTTCTAAAGATAGGATGTAGATTTCCTGTATAACTTTCAACCAGCTTCTCCTAATGTGAACATCTTATATAGCCATGAAATACTTATCAAAACTCAGAAATTAGCAGTGGCACAACTAAACATAATTGGCACTATTAAACTATAGGCTTATTCAAATTTTCCCAGTTTTCCCACAAACATCATTTTTCTGTTCCTGGATCCAATCCAGGATATCATGTTCATTCATCCATTTGATTTTTTTTAATTTCAAAAATCGTATTTTTTATTTTTAAAAGTTTTATTAGAGTCTTTTAAAATCCTCTGTGTCTTTCTTTAATATATGAGGCTTGCTTTTAACAATATACCATGTCTTGTGTATATATATACATACACACTTTCTCTCTGTCTATATATATATTTATACACATACACACACATATATATTTATATATATAGAGAGATGGAATTTCGCTCTTGTTGCCCAGGCTGGAGTGCAGTGGTGTGATCTTGGCTCACTGCA